AATAGGGCTTCAATCATGGAGTATTCAGTCCTAGAACTGGAATGGAGTTGTGCCCAGATCACAGAGCCAGGACCTGAACCCAGACCTGCGGGACTCTAGGACGTGTGTTCTTCCCCTCTGTGCCAGACAGTCTCCCAGGAATGATACCTGAAAGATGCTTTATGGTCTACAGAGGGTTTTCCAAACAAGGAAACTGAGGCTCAGAGAGGTGGAGTCACTCGCCCAAAGGCTATCAGGTGGCATATGGCAGAGCTGGGGGCCTCCCGATTCCAGACGCCATCTCCTCTCCCTACCTTCCTGCTTTCCTCACTTCAACACTCCAGTTCTAAAGATAAGCGAGAGGATTCCAGCGGCACAGCAGGTAAGCACAGTGAGAAGACTCACGAACGGACTTCTTGCCCTGACACTGAGGCCCACACGCAGGAGGACAGCCACCTTCCTCCCCGCACTGCACGCCCTCACCCCACCCCACCACCACCATGCTCCTCTCAAAAAACCAGTGTCACTTACATATTCTTTAATGTCCTTTGATTTCACAGCCTTGTAGGAATAATACGCAGGGTAGAGGGTGCCAAATATAAGCCTGGAGGGAAGCGAGAGAGAGAGAGAGAGAAAAAGAGAAATGTGATTTTCAGGCTTCCTATTTGATGGGAAATGTCTGTCTTGATGCCAGGAGCATTTCTCCAATTTACAGAAAATGCTGCTGTGGGTCTGATTTATTAACATAAACACCCTGAGGGTTTTCTGCTCACGGCTCAAGTGTGCTTGGGAACCTCCACCTCCTGTTACAACTCCACACACGCCTTCCTTCAGTCTGTGGCTTGGCAACGCAGAAGGCTGGTTTAGGGTCACAGAAGCAAAAAAATGAGGGGTGGGCAGCCAAGACCCCTGAAGTTAAAGGTCAGCTTTCTTCTCCTGCTGCTAATCCCCATCTGATGCTCTCTAAAGCTGCCCCACACCTTGGGCTTCCTTCCGTCTCCTTTTTCCCTCAGTATTCCTCCAGATTTCCCTCTCTGAGCTCAGACGTGATCTCATCATCCTGCAGCCAGAACACCCACTTGCCATTGCGTCGATTCTGACTCATGGTGAACCCACATGTTACAGAGTAGAACTGCCCCGCGAGGTTTTCTTGGCTGTAATCTTTACAGAAGCAGATCACCAGGCCTTTCCTCCTCTGTGCTACTAGGTGGGTTCAAACTGCCAGCCTTTAAGTTAGTAGCTAATGGCAAACTGATTGAGCCACCCAGGGACATTCTGCATCAGAATAAGCTTTTCTAATTACAAATCCAACCAGGCCAACCCCTCTACCTGCCACCCCCCCGCCCCACCAAGCCGCATTAACTTGCTTCTCATTGCTCTTACAATGGAGAAGCAGAATTAATGACGCCAGCCCCGAGTGATTGTCAGGCAGCAGTTGTTACTGGTCCTTGTCCAGGGCTGCACTGGGTCACTGAATACCCTGACTCTCAGCCCTGCCGCCAAGGGCCTGCAAGGACCTGCCCTCATTTCTCCCACTTGCCCCCCTCCACCCACAAAGCTGTTTCCTGCTTCTGGAATCTTCCCTCCCCTTTGTCTGGTTAATATCTGTTCATCCATCAGATCCCAGCTCCATCATCACTTCCTCATGGAAGACTTCCCTGACCTCTCCAATTAGGTCAAATCTCCCCACTATACTCTCATAGCACAATGTGCATAACATCAGGGTTGTTGTTTGCTATTATTTGTGTGCTTCTTCGATTAAAGGCAAGTCTGCCTCATTGGACTGTAAGCACCCTGAGGGGCAGAGAAGGGGTCTGGTTTGCTCAACCCTGTGTCCCCGGCACCTACCACACAGTAAGTTCCCTGGGTAGCTCAAGCTGGGAAGTCCTGGACAACTAGCCCAAAGGTTGGCATTTGAAACACACGTCCCCCACCCCTACAAAAACAAATATACATAACAAAACATTTGCCAATTCAACAATTTTTACACATGTAATTCAGTGACACTGATTACCTTCTTCATGTTGTACAACCAATTAGCACCATCCTTTTAAGATTATTCCACCGCCATTAACCAGCTCTCAGTCATTATTTGTAAATGAATGAATTGGCAGAATGTCAGAGCTGGAGGATTTAATCCTTTCATCTGACTGATGAGGTCACCCAGGTGCAAGCAGATCCACGCGGTTGGGTATGGGAGCCACCCTGGCTCAGGGCTCCATGCTCCGCAGGAGCCAGCTCTCCTGTAACAAACCCCCAGACAGCGCTTCCAGGGTCCCTGCAAGGAGTCAGCCTTGCACCCCACACCCAGGGAAGCTCAGAACCATGGCTCCCTCATTAGCATTTAGAAGTCTTAGGTAGCACTCCCAGGCCCGATGCAATTATCCATTAGGGGTCAGCCTGACCATGAGCCATGTGCTGGGTAACACGCTGACATCCACATTCATCAAGTCTCCAGGGTAAAACAGAACTTTAACTTAACCGAGTCAGTTTCTGATGCTGAAGGAGAAAGGGTTTTGTTAACTTGACGCACACAAGCCTTGCCCTAAGCGCGTACAGGCATCCTTTCACTTTATCCCCAGACAGACTTAGTAAAGGAAACTCCCTGACAGATAAAGACACCAGGGCACAGAGCTGTTAGCCACGTTCTATCTGAGGTTCCGGAATCATTAAGGATGAAGCGTAGGCTGGACTCAGCCTGGTCTGCCTGCCTCCAAGCCAGGCCCACTGCCTTGGCGAGCAAGGCCAATCCTCTGGGGAGGTGTGAATTGTCATCTGTGAGGAGTAAGAGAAGCCAGCAAGGGAGACAAAAGAGTAGTCTGAAAGGAAGAAAAACAAAACTAGGACTGTGGGTAGGAGGGAAGAGATTGAAGCCGACAGGCAACAGTGCCAAAGGCATGGGGCAGGTCAAGGAGGATGAGGCCTGAGGAGGCAGCGGGGTCTGCAGGTGGTCAGGGCCACCCAACTATTCCACGCCGCATCTCTGCCTGCCAAACTCCTAAGTGTTCTCCAGATATGAGGGGAAGTCCTACTTCCCCCGTGAGGCCTTTCCTGACCTCCCCACCCCACAAGAAGGAGGTTTCTCTCCTCATTCTACACTGCCACAACTGCCTGTACCTCCCCCTTTCTTAGCCCTTATGCTGGAGTCCCGGGGTGACACAGATGGACTGCTAGACAAAAGGCTGGCAGTTTGAACGCACCCAGAGGTGCCTCGGAAGACAGGCCCGGCGATCTGTTTCCGAAAGCTCACAGCCGTGAAAACCCTATGGAACAGTTCTACTCTGCACACACGGGGTCGCTATGAGTCGGGATCAACTGGTCAGCAGCTAACAACCCTAACAGCCCCATGCTGTGGATCACACTTGCAAGGGTTTGTCTAATGTCTGCCTCTCCCACAAGATTACCTGGTCCACAAAGCCAAGACGGCATCCATCTCGTTCACCACTGCATCCCCTGTGCCCAGCACAGCAGTAGGTGTCCTGTAAGTCTGTGCTCATTTTGTGAGGTTTCAGAGAGTGGTGCAGCAAAAGCCAGAAGGATCCAGGGGACACTCGTGACCTTGGGACTCTGGGCTCAGCAGCGAGGTGGGTGCCAGACAGCGCTGGGCTGATTCAGCAAAGCCTTGGGCATGACGCCACCAACTCCGGGGAAATAAATAAGCGGCTGCTTTGGCTCAGATGCCCTGGTGAGTATCCACACCTGCCAGGGCACTTTCCAGCCCCGCCCTGAGGCGGGGTGGGAGCGGCAGGAGAGATACAGGTGGACAGCATACCACAACCCAACAGCTGATGGGTGTGCACCTCTGCACTCAGTCAGCAGTGACCCTGACGGTCACAGAGCTGGGGCGCCTTGAGGGGCACAGGGCACAGAGCCCTGCACTAAGCCAGCGTGATTTTACTGACATCAGCTGGTTTCCGGCACCCCCTGCCCAGCCCCCACATTGACAGCATAGGGGCCCATCAAGGACCAGTTTGCTTCTCAGCCTCTCAAAGTCTATAACCCTCTATCTCATAGAGCTTCTTAGCATTTCACTGCCAGGGAAGGGGAGGGAGATTAAAGTGACCAGCTCTCCTTAATCTGTTTATTCTACAGGAAAGAGAGAACGAATGGAGCAGGTCCACGCCAAAGGGGCTTTGGTGCTTACCTCCACTCATACCAAGGGGCCCCGGAGCCTCGAGTGCAAGCCCCCTTGTGCAGACCTGCTATATTGGCTCCAGTTACCTCCTTCCTGGAGCCCTGGGGGCACAGTGGTTAAGGGCTCAGCTGCTAACCAAAAGGTCAGTAGTTCAACTCCACCAGCTGCTCTTTGGAAACCCTGTAGGGCAGTTCTACTCTGTCATGTAGGGTCACTATGAGTCGGGAATCAACTCTACGGCAACGGGTTACCTCCTTCCTTTCTAGCCTCCGGCTCATACAACCAGCAGCCGTCTCCCAATAAGCCTGCCTGCCCGCACTGTGACTGCCTGGCAACCGTTTCTTCAGCCTGAATCTTGGTGTACGCTCTTCTGCCAAACCCGCAACCTTTTTTTTTTTTCCTTATAAAGTCCCACTATCCTTTAAGACTCATCTCAAAAAGCCACTTCTGTGAAGTCATTGGTTACTTCTCCCTGAGAATTTTCTGGATACTCTTTAAGTCTATTACAGCACTTATGTGGTAGCAGTAATAATAAAAAATTAAAACTAATATTAATATTACTGAGTGCTCGGGAGTGCAGGACTGTCTTACTGGCAGTATGCACTCTATCGCCTAATCCTCTCCACACCCACATGGCACAGGCGCTCATCGTACCCTGTGGCACAGACGAAGACATTGAGGCTTAGTGGCATCACTCACTTGCCCAAGGAGATACAACAACCAGGAACAGGGTGGAGTGTGGACCCAGCAACCCAGACAATACGGCCTGCCTTCTTTCTTCTCACAGACTGTCTGCGCTGGCTTTGGGCCTGTCTCCCCACCCAGACCACAGAGTCCCTGGGTGATTCGGGCTGTCCCAAATGCCTAGCACAGGCCCTGCCCACGTGGGTGCTTGGACAATGTCTGTAGAATCAATAAACGATCAAACAATTGCAATCTCTCTCCCAGGAACTTAACCTACTTTATAGAAGCACTTAATTCTCTGTACAAGGTCAAGAAGCAGGTAGTAAAACAGTTAGCAGTTGCGGTCAAGTAGATCCTGACTCATGGTGGCCCCACGTGTGTCACAGTAGAAGTGTGTGCTCCAAAGAGTTTTCAATGACTGATTTTTCACAAGTAGATTGCCAGGTCTTTCTTACAAAGCACCTTTGGGTGGATTAAACCTCTAACCTTTCAGTTAGCAGCTGAGCGCATTAACTGTTTACACCACCCAAGTACTCTGGTAAAATATTTAGGGTTTAAAGCCACTTAGAAGTCCCTGGGTGGTGCAGATAACATGCTCAGCTGCTAACCAAAAGGTTGGAGGTTCGAGTCTACCCAGAGTTACCTCGGAAGAAAGGCTTGGCGATCTACTTCCTAGAAATCAGCCATTGAAAACCCTGTGGTGCACAGTTCTACTCTGACACGCATGGGGTCTTCATGAGTAGGAACTGACTTGGTGGCAGCTGGTTTAAAGCTACATAAGTGCT